AAAAAAAAAAAAAAAAAAAAAAAAAAAACCTCACTGGTAGATCCCTTGCCTAGCATAGGCAAAGCCCTGGAATCAATCCCCAGGATAGATAAATGATAGATAGATAGATAGATAGATAGATAGATAGATAGATAGATAGATAGATATAGATAGATAGATAGACAGATAGAGCGGGCAAAAAGTTGTCCACATAAATGAAGAATCTGAATGGGATGAAATGAACGAAGATACTCTGGAGAAAATAAAATCAATACACTCTTCACACAAAACAAATCCTCAGAGATAGTCCAGGACACTGAACACACAAACAATAAAATATTGGAAGCTGATCCAAACCTCTAAATGAGTAAAAGGCACAGAAAGGATGCTCATTTCCTATTAAAAGTTATGAAAGAAAGTGCGACACTGTTCAAACTACTCCATAACATTTCTACAAAATATTCAAAAATTGTTTTTAATGTTTTAAATTGTAGTATATTAGTCAGTATTCTTTAAATTTCTCTATACATTTATACTCTGTAATGAAAATCAGACTTCTTTTTTTGACACTGTTAATGATCATAAGCAATCATAACTTTTCTATTGATTTTTAGGATTCCTGTACATGGTTTTAGCTCAGGTAATCATTTTTATTGTTGAACACTACCAGATAAAGCCAGGAGTACCTGTATGATCTTTTGTGCTCCCAAAGCCTATGAAAAAGACTTAAGTTCAGTGTGGGTGGCAAATTCATACCCAGTGAATATAAGCAGCTAAGTGATTACTACAATCTCCCAAAATAAAGTTTTGCAAAGGAAATCCTACCCAGTTTTTGCAATTTCTGGGTAGTAATAGGTTATTCTCCCAAATTCCACTTCTCAAATAGATAAGTAATGTCATATAGAAAAGCAGCCCAGATACTTACAGATCTGGTCTGTATGAACCAGTGTTGACATGGGACCCAAAAGTATAGTTTGTCCAGTAAGTGGATCTTGAGACAGATGTGGGTGCATTGGATGGTGGAGGTGACTTCCATCATTAGAGGCACCTGCAGAAAATAAAATGATGATTGCATTAGCGATGTTGATAAGCAACAGTAAGTTTTACCTTGGCATGGATATTTTAACTGACAGCTTGAATATTGCAATATTTGCAAAGTGCATTTTTGAGAATTTAAAAATGAATTGATAGAAGTACTGCCATATTAAAACAATGTCAGCTTTCACTATACACCAGATAGATTAATCCTGCATCATAGTGTTGTATATTAATAACAGACCTTGTGTGCCATTTCCTGGAATCATTAGGTTTCCTGACTGTTGCTAAGACAATTCCAAGAATTGCTTACATCAAGTTTATAATATTTGGCATCATCTTAATAGCATAAGCAACCTTTATTTCAGAAAGATGTCTTTAAGACCATATTAAGCATCAGAGTACTAAAAATGATAGTGATTTTTACAAAGAGTTTAATCTATATCAGACATAAAATAAATGATTCTCTAACTTCTTCCTGACATACATTACTTCATCGAAATCTCATTTTCCTATTCTACTATTCTGTGTCAATTAAATATTTGGCTATGTTGCAATTTCTGTAATCTTAAAGTTTTAAAGGAATTGGGCAAATAAGAAACCATATATTTCAAGGGGCCGTAAAAGTGGGAAATACATTTCTGTTTTTTGGGCTTGGAAGGCTCTGAAAAGCGAAGTAAAGGCACTGTAGAAAGAAAAGACAGTGATGGCTGACAAAGAATGAGGATTTGATTTGTTCAGATATTTTTTCCCTCTCTTCATTGGGTTTTGCAGATTTTCTAAATGTAATAAAATGAATTTATTATGTCAGGGAAGAGGACAGTGGAAAGCAGGGACATTCGACAACTCCAAAACACTAAATAAGTGTGGACAAAAGTAAAAGAATGGGGCAAACTTGTTTTAACGGATCTACAGTCATGCTAATCATTGACATGGAAGTCCTGCCATGCGCTCACCACCAAGTAACATTTCCTGAAGGAGGTTGTCAATTTTGACCATGCCGAAAAGTTTGACAAACTGTATCTGCTCGATCATTTGCCAGGTGATGCTCTGCAGTGTGGGCAGCAGCAGAAGCAGCTCCCCGAACCGCCCCCGCGAGTCGTACTGCCGGTCATTGATGTAGTCCTCCAGACTAATCTGCACTTGGAATCGCATGTTCTTAATTTTCACTGGGTCACTTAGCCCTTTTGCATCTAATAAGGATAAGAAAGGTCAACGTGAAGATTTAATCTGACTACAGGATGAGAGAAAATATTCTAATACAGAAAGCCTGTTCATCTTTCCTCGTAGTAAGTTATTAATGAGATTTTGAAAACAAACCTGGATCAAAAAATACAATTGCCTTCAAACAAGCGTACTCATTGTCATCAATCTGGATTTCTTGGAATGGTCTGACTAGCTCATCAAGAACCCTATTGGCCACTCGGTTGATTTCAACTTCACAGCTGTTACGGTGAATGACATAGTTGTTTCCTAAAAGAAAAAAAAAAAATCATCCATTTCCTCTGCCAAACTGTAGAACATTGTATAAATTTTACATATCAGTATTCAAAAGGGGCTGCTCTTGAAGGAATAATGCTAGAAAATAACCTCTCAGGAGTGTTAGGTCAGTAATGAGAAAAAACTCAATACTGAAAGGACCAATAATGATGATAATGTGACTGCATGCATTTTAACAGCCTCAATCACTAGTGATGACACAAAAAAAAGTGCAGACTAATCAAGGGAGAGTCAAAATATACTGGTTAGCTTTCCTATTTGTCCATCATTTATTAGTTTCTTAGTGAGCACAATATAAATTCTAACATAACTTCCTTGCTAATAGAGGACTAAAACAACTCTTCTTTGGTGCCTTAGAACTATAAAGGAGTAAGAACTGTTGACACCCAGGATTAACAAGCCTAAGTAGATGATTTTTAAAAATTAATGCATATGTTCTATTGAGTTGTCACATTAGATTGTTTATTCTCTATGCTTCTTCCTGGGTTTCCTTAGCTAGAGTTGGGATATTCATTGTGCTGAATCTAAGGATGCTCAGAAATTGACTAGAAAGCTGGACTATGCAATTCCTCAAGATTTCTATAACTTAAAATTGTCATGTAAACATACAAGAACAAATGATAAATGTAACTGTACTATATACTTAAAAAGTACCATTAACTCAATGAGAAAAAATTTGTCTATTATATGATAAGTAATTTGATAACCTATAAAATATAACTAAGCTACTATTTTAAAACATAGAATTTCTGTTCTTTCACTGCACAAAAAGACATTTTTTTTAGTTCAGGTCTTAAATCCCCAAAGTCAGTATGTCAAAATTTTGGTCTCAGACCATACCATTATTAGAAATTATGGAAGGGCTTCATAGAAAGAAGTAGCTATTAGGATGGACCATGGTGTCTCTCTCTCTCTCTCTCTCTCTCTCTCTCTCTGTCTCTCTCTGTCTCTCTCTGTCTCCACCTTATTACCATGGGGTGAATAAGCCTCTGCCATACATTCATGTGCCATGGTGTACTGTACCACTGCACTCTAAAGCAACAGGGCCAGGCTCTCTGAAACCATAAACCAAAATAAACCTTTCCTTCCTTTAAATTAACATCCCAAATATTTTTGTCATAGTCATGAAAAGTTTATTTATAAGAATCTTCAGGGCAACAACACATCTAAATGTGTTCATATAATTTAACCTTACTCTTTTTGTCCCCAGATTTATTAAAGGATTTTGGACAAAAATATTGTATCTAATGAAAGCACAAAGCATGTTTGCATATACACATAAGTTGGGAAATGATCAACACAGTTAAGCTAATCAACATATGGATCACTTCACATTTGACTTTATTTTGGGCCTAATTCTATCTTAGGAAAAGTTAGTTCACCTAATTATTCAAGGTAAAATAATTTTGAACAATACAGCAGACACTTAATTTTCCAGGATATGCTGTATTCAGATCCATAGTGAAATCAAACAGCATTTGAGATATTTAGTAGAAATGCAAAAGAAGTATTTAATAGAATTTGAAGGCATAGTCTCTGAAGTCACATTATGTGATTTAGAATCCAGGCTCTCTCCTTTCCCAGCTTTTCACCATAGGTAAACTTGTCTACTTCCATTTATTCATCTAAAAATGGGCTACACAGAACAATTCTTAGTTTAGTGATTAACTGAGAGTGTGTGTCTTTACATGTAAAGCACTTAGAGTAGAACATATATGTCAAAAGTCCTTCATAAGTATCAGCTACCATTATATTGTTTTGCATTCATTCATATTTGGAACCAAAATATTTATCACACAAAAATACAAAGTCATTTTGCACAAGCCAGAGAAAGGTAAAACTCATAACATTAGAAGAATCTCAACTCTCAAACCCTAATTTTATGAGTTAAGTAAGGTGGGGGTTGGAATAATTATTTAGTGAATAGCAAAGCTTTCCCTTTGTGTCTTCTTCTCTAGGTACTATTCTTTTTTTTTTTCTTTCTTCTAACACTTGTGTCTAACAGAATTCTTTAAACATTGTCACCAACTCATTTTAAATGATTTTTATGGAATATTAAGGACAATGATATTATAGAGAATAAACACATTACTTAAAAGTGTAAAATAATTATTCTGGAGAGACTAATGGAGTGTAGAAACATATTTGAACTGCAGAGGTGGACATTTAGATCACTAATTTCTCTTCTCATAAGATTTAAGCATACCTCAGTATGTTTATTGAATAACATCTGCTTTCATTTTTAAAACTTGGTGCACTCCAATCATCTCCTGCACTGTGAACTTAATGCAATCAAGATAAGGAAAATTAGGGCTGAGGGAGGACAGAATCAATTAAATCAGATCTGTGAAGCAATAACACTGTAAATGCTTGGTACATACAGAATATAGAGTTTATATTTTATTTTAAGGATAAAATATGCATAATTTTTCATTAAATTAGAAGAAACCTTACCCAAAAGCAAAATATCTTTATACATCATGGATCTCTTTGTAGCTCCAAGCAATAAGTGTTCCCCTGCATGTGCTCTTAACAGGGCCACCTTAACAAAAAGTTCCAAGTTTAACAATTAATTTAAAAATGTAATGATTAAAAAACAGCATGATATGAATCAGATTAATTTGCAGTGTACTTTTAAGCCTGGGACATTTTTGTTACTGTTTTGTTTTAACAAACTAATATTCATAGATACTTGACATCATAAGCCTTCTTCTAGCTTTTTATTTTAGTTTGACATAATTTACTTATCAAAATTTCTAAATGTATCTAGCAAGTCAGGAGAATGGCAGGAGAAAAAAAAAGTTGAACAGGAAAACAACATTCAGCAGACTAAACTTCAAATTCCAAGCTGGCTACTTACTACTTATCTAACCTTGGTTAAACTGATCATGTGTTTGGGACTCATGTGTTTTCATTTGTAAAATGGAGGTATTGATTAAAATAATCTTAAATTATACTCATTTGAACTAAATAAAATATACATAATAAGCTGAATTATACAAAAGAAAAGCAAGTGTTTGTAGTGAAAAAAAAGGATAGAGGTCTGGGTCCTCCCATTTTCCAGACTGAGCCTTTGACTGCATTGAACTCTTTCAGTGATTTTCACTTATAGTCTCAGCTACATTCTAAGCATCACCACTGGGAAGCAGAGGAAGTATTTCAAATCCACATCACACCAAAATAATGCTTCTCTGCAGTCTTCATCACCTTGGAATATAGGACCAACATACAAAGCGCTTATTTAAAATCAAACAGGAATCTATTTTGACTCGGTATTTTGCAAATCCCTGTGCTGCTTTTCAAAAAATAAGCTAAATGGACCTACTACTATTCATCTCCTATTTGTTCTGCCTACTGGCTCCAGTCCAAGCTTTTGTCAACTTTCAGCTGGGTCACCCCAATACTTTCAAATACATATCCCTGCTTCCTGAGTGCTCCACTCTAAATCGTTCTTGTCAGAGCTTCAAAGGTGATATTTGCAAAATAGTAATCATTTAATATCATCCCTCTGCTGCAAACTCATCAGTGGCTTCTGATTGTCCTTAGAATAAAACTCAAACTCCAGGGTCTCAGCCTCACAGGTGATAGAGTGGGGTGGTGTAACGCTTTGTCTCCTCACCCCACCCGCATGCCTCTGGCTCTATCTAGCAACACTCCTAGTTCACATGGCTCCCGCCTGACTCAGAACCTTGAACATGTTGTTCCTGTACCCAGAATGCCTTCTCTTCTGTTCTTGGGGTGTTGGCCCCTTGCCATTTAGGTCTCAGCAAGTAACTTCTGATTCCCATGTTAATTCCCATGTTAAAGCATCTCTTCCCATGGCTCCCCCATTCATTCTACAACTCATCCTGTTCCATATCATAGCATTTTATACAACTTATCCCCACCTAGTTTAACTTACTCATAATTTACATATTTTTTATTGTCTGTCTCTCCCACCTAGGACACCAACTTTATGAGATACTGTATTTATGAGAATCTGTATTTTTGCTGCAGAATATCCAGTTCCTAAAATTGAACAGTAGTCTCCCTAATATATGCTCATACTATGAATTTAACTTTATAGAGGTCAGCTCTAGGTACTGTAAAATAGAAATAACACCTATACCAAAGAGCTCCTGAGAGATTAAATAAAACAATGCAATTGACAATGCATTTGAAATTTGATTCCTAGGTGCCTTACCCGTAGGAAATGTGCACTATTTCATGGCTATTAATATTATACTTTTAATATTGAGTATCAGTTAGCAAATGAAAACTTCTTTCACTAGTTATTGGATTTCGGTTTCTCAATATTTAGAATGTCTTGACACATAAGTCAGCAAGTTTTAAGGAAGAATGATAATAAAAATATAAAACTGATAAATAATACAACCATACTTATATTGCTTGGGTTGAGACTGGTAGGTTTTAGCAATTTAGCATTATTCACTCTGGCATAACCTTCTGGGCCAAGCTATCTTTATGACATGTCAATAACCGTGACTCATTCCAGGAAGGCAGTTACAGAACTTTTTAAAAATGATTTCAGATTTGCAGATTTTTCCCCCATCACCAGGTGAAATGTTTTCTTAGAAATATAACTGCTAACGATGTATGATAATTTTTGGTTGTGTAAATATTTTTCCATTCTTTGATTTTTACACACTTTTGCCCTTTCCTATCCTCTTTGATTGTTTCTTTGATTTTGTGTATCACCAATGAAGAGCACTAATCTGAGAGTATATATATATATATATATATATATATATATATATACACTA